CGCTTCCTGTGACCAGGCGCCCGGTCCCGCCCCGCGCGGCTCCTGTTCCGGGACGTCTGCTTTCCCCATCACCGGAGGCTTCCCGGCCAGCCATTCTCCCGGCGCGGAGGAGCTCACAGAAGCGCCACTGTTCTGCGTTGGCAGCGGCCTGGTCCGACAGCTTGGGCCTGAGCGGCAGACCCATCCGTCAGGCGGGAAGGATGGAGCAACGTCCGGCAGCCCGCTCTGAGGACTCCCTGGGGAGCCGCCTCCCGCCCAGGCCCAGACTCTTTCCCTCTTCCCGCCCCCAGCCTGCGCCCACTGCCAGCTCAGAGTATGCAGTACTTTTTCCTCCTGCCTCCTCCCACCCCTCCTCAGGCCTCAGCCTGGGGCCTGAGAATCTGATCATGGGTCACAGGGAGGGGTCCTTTCCCTACCTACACGCACAGGGCAGAACATAACTCTTTGTCTTAAAAAGATCTGGGGATCTCAGTGGACCATAGCCCAAAGCTAAATCAGCCCATCAACACTCAGGATTTAAAGGAAAGCCTCTGGACAAACCCTATAGAGTAGAGGGATTGGAAAAATATTACAAATAAAACATATGGCCTTTACTCTCGGGTATTTACAGGTACTTTATGCTTCCTGAAAGGTTTTATAGAAGACAAATTCTCTTATTGTACTACAGAGTTCATATGCACTGACAAATTCTATGTAAAGTAAACAACAACAAAACCTCTTCCACTTTCTTGTTGGTGTATATTTTTTCTTCTTGTCAATTTGTAATAATCATCTATCAAACTTACTTAAAATAGTGCTGCTTATGCATGATGACTAGGAAGACACAATACACTTCAACAGCATAGGGAAGAAGTACAAACTGTAAGCGCTCTTGGGGTGTAGAGTAAGGAGAGAAGGGGTTGAGAATTAAAACATGTTTAGCTTAACCAAGAAAGAATTCCTGGAGAAGTGACTGGATTTAGAAGTAGAATGGTGATAGGAAGTTCCAGATGGAGAAGCATCTGTTCTAAGGTGGAATAGATCCTATATTTTGTCTCAGGATGAGGCACAGATATCATTGACTACAACATTTTCCCTGACAATAGGATAAGATTAAACAAGACTTGTGGGCAAACGGAGAATTCAGCATGGACAGTGGACTCTTCAGGTGAGTGGGGAGCAGCCCTGGAGCAACCCTTCTTCTCCCGAGGAGTCCTTAGATCATCAGCTCTGGGCTCCTGGGCTAGGGAGAGATGCCAGCCTCAGGGACTCCACCCTGTTCTGTGGTACCCTCAGAAGGTTTAGGGCTGGGGATTTCACTCAGTGGTTCTGCCGCTTGCCTCAGAAGTGCAAGGTCCTGAGTTCAATCCCTGGTACCCTCTCCAAAAAGAAGAAGATTTGGACACGTGCTTCAACCTTGACGTGGTTAGGGGACGAGAGATGGAGAGGCAAAGACTCTTCCTCTTGCACACATTGTAAGGGGGAAAATTGAGGCTCACTGATCCAAATCAGTCAGGATTTATAGAGCACCCACAGTGTGGTAAATGCTGTGGAAGGCATTAAAGATCTCCTGGTGATCAGGGTATGGTGCTTATCAACAAGGCACCCACAGTCTAGTGGGGACACATTTTACTCATTCACCAAAAGCCAAAAGAACACTGGGTGCTCGCTATGAGCCAGGCAGAACTGCAGGCCCTGGAGGTGCAGCTGTGAACAGGATGGGCAGGACTCCTGCCCCTGCTGGTGAGCACTGCCTGTCACAGAGGACAGGGACACTGATAGGTAGTCTTAAGTCACTGAGGTGGCTGTCAAGCGGAAAGGACAGCTGCCTTTGGGGTGGGAGGGGAGAGGGAGCGGGCCACAGATAACGCACTGACACCAGTCTGTGAAAAGGGCCACGCTGCCCTGGGAGAGGGAACTCTGAACACAATACACTGCAGGACGACAGGGTGGATGGCATGAGGCAGTGCCCTGGGCCTGGGGCTCAGGTGCCTGTGCAATATCCCACCAGGAGCCTGTGGCCAAGGCATGCCCAGCTGAGTTCTGGCCTCCAGTCTCAGGACGGTACCTGCGCTAAAACACCTCTTCCAACACCACAGGGAAGGTAGAGAATAATCTTGGCAGAGCCAGACCAGGGGATGAGTTTATCAGTTTTCCCTGTTCTGTTTCGAAGCTTGTGCCTCAGGGTTGGGCTATTTGGGAAGGTTGGGGGCAGAGGGAGGAGGGCACCGAGGGGGGTCTTGCTCTTCTCCACCCTCCCCTCACTGATAACAGTTTTGAAACAAACCAGACTTTAAAAAGAAACAGGTGATCCGCCTCTAGCCGCCGCTGGATGCAAACCAGGACAAGAAGGAATGGTCCTCTGCAGGAAAAGCTCCCACCACCAGCCATCCTACCTCCACCCCTAGCTCCTACCTGCCTGGGGCAGAGTGTGGAAGTGGGTAAAGTAGAAAGGGGCATCTAGGAGAGGAAAACAGAGCCAGAGGACCCAGGAGCTGAGATCCCTCGGTGTAAAGATGGGGCCTGCAGCAAGGGTGGGCACACTTCTGTGCTGCATCTGACGTGCCAGGCTAAGGGGGTAGGGACAGCGATTGACCCCTGGAGAGTTTTAGGTTTATATTCGATATGGTTCCCATAATATAGGAAATAGAATAATGTAATATCCTTGTATTCACTGTCAGGCTTAAGCTTTGTTAAATTACTGATAATAGTTGTCCAACTTAGCTCATGAGTTTCAAAATAACACAAACAAATAATTATAGACAAATGTCCCTTTTTGTGCCCCTCTCCTGTACCTGCAAAACAGAGGTGCTACTATCACAAATGTGGACTTGTTCCTCTAGTCCATGTTTTATATTGTTACTATTCACATAGATCCAAGAATAATATATTACTTCAGTGCATTTTTAAAGCTGTACAATACTTTTGACATAATTTACAACACTTTTTTCACTCCATATTTTTAAAACATCTTTATTTGAGGTTTTTGGCAAAGCATCAAAAAGGTAGAAATGGGAGAGCTGGGTGTGGTGGTGCACGCCTGTAATCCCAGCACTAAGGAGGCTGAGGTAGGAAGATCGCTGTGAGTTCGAGACCAGCCTGGGTCACGTACTGAGTTCCAGGTCAGTCTCATTTACATAGTGAGACCCTATCTCAAAAGCAAACAAATAAACAACAACAACAAAAAGGTAGAAATGGGTTTGTGAGATCATGTTGGTTACCAAGCAGAGGATTCCAGACAGGGGAGGACAAGGATGGGGACAATAGGCAGGAGGGTAATGAGGTAACAGATTCTCAGGGGGAGAGTCCATACTGCAAACACTGAGGTCGAACCTGTGAAGGCAAGGATTTTGTGCCTGCTGCTCTTCAGTACCGTGAACAGGGTGTGGGACCATGTTGAAGATGCCCAGTAAACATCTGTTAACAGAGAGTCTGATAGGGGCTGAGAGGTCCAGGACGGTATCCAGATTTCCGGCCCCATGTCATTCACGGAATGATGGCCCCAGTCTCCAAGAGGAACGTCCTAGGAGAAGAGCTGCATTGGGAGGAAAGATGACTTGAGAAACCATCTTTGTGGTCCAAGGCCAAGGAGACTGTGGAGCGTGGGAGAGACCGATGTTAGGAGGAAGGCCAGACTCCCACTTCTCCGGACTGGAAACCCCGTAGCAGGTGGCTATTGATGAAAGATATGAAAGGACCCACAGATTGCAGGGAGGGGAGGCTTCGTCCTGCTGGAGGTAAAGGGGAGGTAAAAGGAGAGTTGAAACACAAACTGAATACAAGCACCAGTTCCCTCTGAAGGGCGAGAGGGCAGGGCCCAACCTCTGCATTGCCTACAGTGAGTGTTTTCTTGCCCTTTGTGCAGTGGGTACCCGCAGCCCATTAGCCAAGGCAGAGGAGGAGGAAGAAGGTGTAATAAGTGATTCTAGAGTCATAAAGACCTTGTCAGATGCCTACACTCCCAACTTTGCTCCCACTACATATTCATCAACAAGACAAATAGGAGGGGTGTTCATAATTGCTGTGCAGGGACTTATTCTTGACCAAATCTAATCTCTGTATTCAGGGAAGGAGGTGAGATATAAATCGCTTTTCTACTGTGAAGACCCAAGGCTCTTGCCCTTCACCTAGGAAGGCTGCGTTCTGTAAAAGGCTCCTCGAAGTCACTGGCAGCCCTCCCTCCTCGCTTCAAGCTCCTGCTGCTGACTCACCTATAAATATCCCCTGCCTATGACTCCACTCGGTGTGCTTCTTCTAGGACACATTCCACCCTCCCTACCGCTCCCCGGAAGCCGCTCCTGGAAGCCGCTCCTCTCTCCTCCTATCGCCCCCAGCACGGATTTCCTGAACCAAGTCTAGCTCCTCAGTTCTGCCCTCTGAGTTTTTGTCTCTTTCTGGCTCCTCATCTGAGTTTTCAGTAGCTCAGTGTTACGGTTTATTTCTGAGGTGTCCCCTCAGAGCCTCATGGGTTTGGAAGGTGATTAGATTGTGAGGGTGGATTAGCCCATTGATGAGTTCATCAGTTAAGAAATGGAGGTGTGGATCTAAATCATTTGATTCCCTTTCCTAGAAGTACTTGCAATTTAGACCTGTTCTTTATTCAAGGAACTTTAAATATTGGGAGGCAATGGACTAGGTGGAGAGGGAGATCTTGGACTCACCTTTCCATGAAACTGCTTATTGGAGGTGTGGCAGGATCTATGGCAACCCCTACAGTCACAAAGGACCAACCTAATGATCCTCACATCAGGCTACAACCACTCACCTCCCACATTGAGTTTGGACACTTTTTTTTTTTTTTTTTTTTTTTTGGTACTGGGGATTGAACTCTGGTCCTTGCGCTTTTGAGGCGGGCAGCGGAACCACTGAGCTAAATCCCCAGCCAAGCTTGGACACTCTTAATTTTTGTCTGATCAAGACACATTGCAGAATACCACCTCCCTGAACCCCCACACTGAGAAGAGCCCTAAGATATCAGACAATCGGGCTTTGCAAACTGCCACTTAAACAGATAGGCACTCAACAGGATCCCCAAAGTCATGCGACTTGCTTAGCTAACTAGGGTCCTTCCTCTGCAAGGATATTAGAGACTTTTTTCCTCTTCCTTTTTTTCTAAACTTATCTAGACTATTAATTTCTTTACAACAAACATAGATTACACATGCTATTACAAAGAAAATAAAACTCTAGAGAGGCTGCAGGTATAGCTCCGTGACAGAGTGCTTGCCTAGCATGTGCAAGGTCCTGGGTTCAATACTTGGTGCTGAAAATAAATAACTAAATAACAAAAAAACTCTGCAAAGAGCAAGAGTTATGACCACAGTATTGGAGGGTGGGAGGATGCTTCTGAGCTGGGTAACAGAGCCATAGGGAGGAGTGTGTCCTGCACATATTCTAATGGGTCAAGGGCTGCTGTAGGGCCCTTAGAACAAAGCAGCCCTGAGCCCTGGGCAGCCCCAACAATAACTACAAGAGGTACCCACAGGTGACTGATGCAGGGCTAGAGGGACACTGGAAAGAGAAGACCAGGTGGAGTAAGGTGTGGATGGTCAAATTCCCCTATGGCTATACAATTTATTTATTTATTCTCATTGAGCTTATTGGTATATTTTAGGTATACAGTACAGTTACATTCATCTTGCACCTTTACATGACAGGTCTTGGTTCTTATTCTTTCCCCTTACCCCTGCCCTCCCTTCACCCCTTATACAATTTAATTTAAAGGAATCTGAATAACAGGCAGCAGCTTTTGTATTTTTCCTTAAGAATACAAGTAATTAATTTTGCAGCCTTCTATAAAGTGTGACTATTCACTCAGTTGATGATTAGAGATTAGCTGGTAATTATTAAATTAAACAAGGAAGGAGCCAGAAACCGACATCATACATTTTAGCTGGAAACTTTTTATCCTTAATGTTAAATTTGAATATAACACAGTGGGAAGGTAGAAGCAACAATGTTGTTGTTTGTTTTGTTCTTTTAAAGTGTGAAGAAGTTGGAAACCTTGGCTCCTGTCTAGGCTCTGTCCCTGACATAGGAACCGTCCACCTTTTCTGATAAATTCTCTATGAGATTAGGGAGTGGAGGGTGAACTTGGACCAGCAGTCTCACATCTTAACTTGAAAGGTTGCAAGTAAGAATTTAATTCTTTTATAAGGCATGTTTAATAAAAAAGAGTAGGATGTATCATATTGTTATTCATTTTACATGAAACTAGGATTTTCTAGGTTGGGGATGTGAGGCCCTGGGTTTGATCCCTTGTTAGACACACACGCACACATACACACTCAACCAAACAAAAACATTGATTTTTTTTCTGTTAATCAGAAAATAGGTTCAGAAATGCAAAACTTTGCAATTTATTACATTATGTTTTGTACATACTAAAATAAAAAGGATGCTTTAAACTATTTGCCATAAAAAAATCCTCTGTGGCTCTAGCCATATGTGCCTGTAATCTTAACACTTGGGAAGCTGAGGCAGGAGGATCACCTGAGATGAAGGCTAGCCTAGGCTACATAGTAAGACTCTGCCTCCAAAAGATAAACAAACAAACATCACAACACAACACAGCAACAAGAACAACAAAACCCCAACATAAAAAACAACACTCTCTGTGGCTCTGAGAGAGGTCTCTTATGCATCACAGGGCATGCCACCACTGCAGTGTGGCCCTAGGGCACCTGCACCATGTGACAGGTGCTGCAAATTGTGACCCCTAAATGATTCTCTTTTCTTCCTGAGTTTTTAGTTTGTTAAAGTACCCTGCCACTGTCACAGGTTAGATCTCTAATAACTACCATTTAGTGAGCATATACTATGTGCCAGGATCCACGACAAATACTTTTATTCATATTATGCAGTTTAAATTCTCATAATCAGCCGGGTGTGGTGGTACATGCCTGTAATCCCAGCACTCAGGAGGCTGAGGCAGGAGGATTGCTGTGAGTTCGAGACCAGCCTGAGCTAAAAAGTGAGTTCCAGGTCAGCCTCAACTACATAGTGAGACCCTGCCTCAAACAAACAAACAAACAAACAAAAATACATTCTCACAACCACTAAAAACTCAGCAAAGAGAAGTAGCTGACTTATGGTCACACAGCTGTAAAGTGGTAGCGTGAGGATTCAAACACCTCTGTGAATTTCAGCTCCAAAGCAGAAGAATGAGTCTCCTGCTGCCTCTTAGAAGGTAAGGCTGGAGCCCCTGGCTGTGTGAATAGTAGCTAGGAGGGAAAGGGGGCTGTGGCGTTATATCTAGAAAGAGCATGGGTGTAACATGGGAAGGATCAAACAAGCTAGGTTTTGTCTAGCTTTGCCCCTGCCTAATTACAGGTTCTTTTCTTTTTTTAAATTGCAGGTTCTTGAGGGAGCTCCTTAGCCTCATCCATGAAATGGGATGCAAGGGACAACAGGAGAAAAGATGAGCCGGCATCCTAGGTCCTATCTTGTTCTCTTGCTTACTGGCTACATTGTCTTAGGTAAGTTGCTGGGTCTCTTAGCCTCAGGGTTGTTGCTTCCTAAATATGAAAAATAAACCCCAATCACATGGGGACTGACAATAACATATGTGAAGGGCTGGGGATTTAGCTCAGCAGCTTAGCACCTGCCTGGCAAGTGCAAGGTCCTGAATTTGATTCCCTGGTACAAAAAAAAAGTGAAACTCCTGGATGGAATCTGGCATGTCGTAGTCACTCGACAAATGCTTGCCAATAGTAATAATCTTTGTGATAGCAATATTAACAATGGTGCCATATTTTTAACGTGATTATTAAAACGAGAAGGAGCTGGGGAGGAGCTACCTTAGTCTACCCCAAAGTAGCTGTAGTTGCCTTCAATGGGTGGGAAGGGGCTGGCCTGGAGAATGGATGCCTGGAGCAGGACACCGTAGGGTGAGGAGGGTCCAGGTCCGTCTGCTGAGCCAGGTTGGAGGACACAGGCTGACCCTGCACAAAGAGAAACTGTCAAGGTCTTTCTCAGCTTTAATGTTGGCTACAGCTGATTCTGTGACTCAGCCACTCTGCCCTAGCACCTCAGTGCGGGGAGGACACTGTGAGGCCTCCCACCAGCACCTCCATCAACTTGTGTGGCCTCCGCCCTGGAAGCCACACACAGACCCTTCAGATTCTCAGTGCCGGAGATTCCCTCTAAAAGGACCCAAAGATGGCCTCTCCATCTTCCCACTGGGGCCCTGTAGGTCCAGCTGGAGGGAGGTTTCCAAAGCAGGTGCGCTCCTTGAGTGGCCAAGGTGTTGGGGCGGGGTAGGGTCTCCTCTCCCTGGGCCTTTTCCCCCCAAGCTGGTGTCCCAGGCACCTTTCCTAGTTTGGAAAGCAGATTATTTATGGTTTATTTTTGACATCAGATCATCGCTGCCCAAGTTTCATCAATTTGTCACTGTTTTTATTGTCAGCAATTGCCCATAACTGGAGCACATTTAAAATGTCATTGATCTTGGTATTACAGTGTCATAATCTGACAGTAATAGGTGTAGCCAGCACAGGAAACCCAGGCCTTGAGATTGATGGCGTTCAGCACACCAATTATATTCTGTCCATCTAAGTGATAAAAGAGTACGTAGGAGGCATTCAATAGATAAATTAGATATCTCTCCCAATTATGTGCCTTTATTTTATGGAGTCATAGGTTCCCCTTAGAACTTCTTTTCTTCATTTGGCTTGTGAAGGAGCATTACCTGACTCCCAAAGAGTGAGGCTGCCTCCCCGGTTTGTCCTACCTTTGCTCAACTTTGCTGCCTCTCTACCTTCTGGTAGCCTCTTGCCTGGGCTCTCTGGAACTCACTCAGGAGGCTCCCCCGTGTGGGGAGTGTCATAGGTGTGGAAGGAAGGAGGTAGCAATGCCTTCAGTGTCTGGGGAAGTGTTGGGTCAGGCAGGCCCTTGGGAAGGACTAGGAGTCCGGCAATGCTTTTCATTACAGCAGCACTGGTCAAGACAGTGAGACTGGGGACGAGCCGTAAAGTGGGTTGGGATCCTCCAGTGCCAAATACCAGCAGAATCTTCAGATTTGGAAGAAAGTGATTGGCTATGGCTGGGGAGGAAAGAAAGAAAGTTTTCAGTCCTCAGGAAGGGAATTTAGCCACCCTCCTGTCTTGCTATAGATGGAGTTGAGCCAGTTTAACCTTTCCTCAGAAGGAGCCCCAGAATCTCCCACACCCCTATTCCAATCCAGGTCAGATGGCTTCAGCTTGAGTCCTTGAGCTGCCACAGTGATGGGAGCGTGATGCCAGCCTTCCTGGGGAGACAGGAGGCCCCTGAGAAACAAGCCCTACCTACCAGCAGCTCATTGCCAAGAAGTGCTTGCCCGGGGCAGGGAAGTACTAGGACCAGAGGTACAGCAAGGGGGTAAATTTATTTGGGGCCTGGTTAGCAAGCATGTTAAATTCTGAGGACAGCCTTGTCTTGGACCAAATCCATGTTCCCTCATTCCTCCATGCTCCCCTGGAACCAGCAGGAAACACAGAGGAGGCTGAGACATCTATTTATTGAGTTCCGAAAGAGAAAGTGTCCATGGGCTGGCTGTTCCCCAGTGCCTGTAACCTTCTCAGCGTTGTAAATAATCCTGGCACTAAGTGCCCTGTTTTACTGAGGGGAAGCAGTTCTTAAGGCATGAAACCTGAGAATGTGGGCCAGAGGAGGAGGAATGACAGGGGACCAGGGAGCGAGATGGGGAGCCATCACCCCCAAGCTCCGTGAGTACACCCCAGCCAGTGATAGATGCATTTCTGAAGCGGAGGATGGCATTTCCAGTGAAATGTTTACAGGAAATGAGTGTGATTTAAACGTCTTGGCGATAAACACCAGCCAGATGGGGGAGAGGGCAAGGCGAGGAGCAGAGGAATCAAAGGCCCGGAGGCCTCCAGTGTTAAGTAGCTGTCTGAGGCTCTTCTCAAACACACACACCAGCTTTGGTCTTAACATGTTTTTAAGAGCTGGTTATGATTTCCTTGAGGGCGGCTCAGATTAAGACTTGAGTGGAGCCCCCAGCTGAGCGCCTTCAATAACTGTCCATCACATCCTCTTTAGAGACAGCAGCCTCCTCTCCCCGCTCAGGGTGCCTCCAGCTGGGGAGGGCTGCAGACTGCGCTGCTTGTAAGTCCATTCCTGGGCAGCATTCGGGTCTGTTGCCTCTGGCATGGAGTTCTGCCCTGGGTGCTGGGGCAGACCCTGGGCCAGGGGCTGAGCCCCACCCTCAGAGAGCTCTCAGCCTTCAAGGAAAGAGAGAACACAACCTAGAAAGCCAAAGGAAGGAAGTGGAGGCAGAGGAGTAGAGCTCTCAGCCTTCAAGGAAAGAGAGAACACAACCTAGAAAGCCAAAGGAAGGAAGTGGAGGAACTGTCACCAAATCCAGAATCTGGGCCCCTCTTACCACATCCACTCTGCAGACACTCTGGTCCAAGCTCTCTACTAGACTTTCAAGTCTCTTTGCACCTTCCCTTACCCTGCTGCAATCCATTCTCAATAAGAGGAAGCTCCGTTTAAAAACTGAAGTCCAATCAGGTCTTTCCTTTTCCTTTCCTCCCAGTGAAAAGCAAAGTCCTTAAATTAGCCTGCATGATCCTACATCCTCTGTTTTCTCATTACCTCTGGATGTCAACCCTTCTCACTCTTCTAGTGAACTCTCTTCCAGCTGTGTTAGATTCCAGATTCCACAGATTTGCCGAGCATATTGTTGCCTCAGGGCCTTTGCATGAGCTATTCTTTCTATTTAGAATATTCTTAGCAAGCTAACTGTGGGCTCACTTACCTGTTCTCAATGAGACCTCCTTGAATACTATATTTAAAATCTCAAACTTTCCGCTATCCTGATCCCTTTTTCCTTCACCTATTTTTTTCTGTGACAATTACCATTTTCAATGTGTTGTGTCATTCCCCCATTTAGTGAGGACCTAATTCATTACCTGTCTCCCTGCTAGGATACAAGCTCTACATGGCAAGAATCTTTCTCTAATTTTGGTCACCAAGGTATTCCAAAAACCTAGCATAGTGCTTGATAATAAGTGCTCAATTAGTAAATGGAAAAATACGGTTAACCAGGGCAGGGTTTGGAGGGGAGGGCAAAGGGAAGCCATCTCACCCTTGGGGTTAACTTGTGCCTTACCTCACAGCAGGCCATGATGGAGGGTCTAGCACTCAAGAGTGATGGGCACAAATTCAAGAGTTGTGCTAGGGCATCCCCAAAATGGGAGATTCTCCTGCAAAGAGACTCAGTTGCATTTACCCCTGAATCTGATGGAGGACTTGGTTTTATGGTGGGGTTCATCATCTTCACGCCCAAAGCATCCTTTGGGATAATACCAAAGGGAAATACCAAGTAGGAATGAGGCTGGTGGAAATGGGAGTTAGGCTGGGAACTCAGTAGTCTTCAAAGAGTGGGAAGTGTAGTTGAGAAACAGCAGAGCAGCACATCTTTTCTAAGATGGAGGCAGTAAGACGGGTTCTGACAGACAACTGCATGCAAATGGGAGAAGGAAACTCAGCCACTAGAGGCTACCAAGCCAGTGAAGATGTTCCTTCTCCATAGAGAGCAGAATAAAAAGCCATTGGCTGCACCTAAAGAAGGAATTTGAGCTAGACATCGAGAAAGACACGTACAACAGATGGTACAGGGCTGGCGCAGAGCCTTGTTCTCTAGAGAACCTGAGCAGGAACCAGGAGGGTACACGCCTTAGCCAGCGATGTGGGGGGTCCTGAGGGTCTGAGCAGCTCCAGGACAGGAGGAATGTGGGTTCCAGATCCCTGGGGAAGGTTCCTCTTCTGCCTGGCTCCTGAGCGCCCTTCCCCAAGGTTTTTGAATTCTTAAGAATGCAGCCACTTGCCCTCTCTCTCCTGCCTCAGCATTTCTGCATCTTTCCAGGGTGGGAAGGATATGGAGAGTTTTTAGTACTCCAACTCCCAACTAGGTATGTCCGCCTTACCACCTCTCCCTAAAACATGAGTGCTCAGCACAGCTTTGTGGTGACCCCGGGTTGCAACAGAAGAAGCATAGATACTTGGAGAGTTATGCAAGACTATGGCTGCTGTGGTTATAATGTGGCGAGGACGTGGGTGGCCAGGAGGCCTGAGGATGGAAGGGATACTCACTTGTCATTGCATAACTTTTGATACCTTTTAAATGCTGAGCCTTGTACATTTCCTGTTCAAAGCAACTTATTAAAATCAGACAAAAGCACTAAGAATAACAACAAAGGCTGATCTAAGGAAGCTGTTACCCTGAGAACAGTGCCCTTGCTCTTCTCGCCCATGTGCACCCTCCCTCAAGCCTGGCATCTCCGTTTTCCAGCTTGGGAGGGGTACGGGCTGTTGGCTGTTCTGGAGTCACAAGGTATTAAAATGTCGCAAAGGTCTGGAGGATGGCAGTCTAGACACTTGGTGTTGGCTTTCTCTTTCAGTCTTCATTGTCCTGGTCTGCTCATTGATCTCTCCATGTTACCTGCAGAATTTACATATGCTACAAAGCACCCTTCCATGAGTTGTTTAAAAAGGTATATAGTCTTGTTTTCTTCGGAACCAGGGATCAAACTCAGGACCTTGTGTTTGCGAAGCAGGCATGGTACCAATGAGCTAAATCCCCTGCCCTAAAAAGGCACATAATCTTAAAAGGCATGTTTCCCAGGTGGTTGTCCCCTCATGGATCTCTCTTCTGAACCCCTATGTGGTATCTGAGAGTTCTTTCCCACCCTTTCTGCCTCCCTCCTCTCTACCACCTCAGTCATCCTATTGGCCTTTCCACTGCAACTTTTCCAGAAAAGACATTTAACCTTTCTGTGCCTGTTTCTTCATCTATAACTGAAGATCCCGACCTTCCTCTGGAAGAATTTCATTCACACATTTGTAATCGGTGCCAGGCACTAAACTTGGCACTGAGGATTGCATGAGACAATGTATGTGAAGTTAGTACTGAGACTCAGAGAGTTATTGCCAAGGCCTCTTTCCTTGGATGCCTTTCTAGACTGGGTGCTCTACCCTCCTTATCTGGGACACACTGAGAAAATGTACTTCATAGTCTATTCCCAAACTCTGCGCTTCCTGTGCTGCTCCTGAGCTGAAGCTGACATCCTGCTCTGGATGAAGTGTTGAGGGCTGCAGAATAACCTATTTCTGGGCCAGGGGTTTGGCTCAGTGGTTCTGCCACCTGCCTTGCAAGCACAAGGGCCTGAGTTCGATGCCTGGCACAAAGAGAGAGAGAGAGAGAGAGAGAGAGAGAGAGAGAGAGAGAGAGAATAACCTATTTCCAAGCTTTTCCATTTGGTTAGATCCCAAGGGCATCAGTTTGCCTTCAAGAAGAATAATGCTAAAATTTGTCTGTAGGTCTTTTGTCTGTGGCTTGTACTGTGGGGGGCCCTGGCCATAGAAGCTGGGGCTGGAACAACAAAGGGACAGGAAATGGAAGTTGTCCTTTTCCAGCTCTGCTTATTTCTCTTCTTGAGCCCCATGCCTCTTTGGGGATTGGCACAGAGGCTAAACTGCTGGGATTGGAAGCTCACATTTGCCTACAAATCTAGGATGGCCCGTGGAGGAAAGATGAGCCCTTGAGACAACCATTCCTTAGAATAGACAGGCGAAGGGCTGGGGATTTAGCTCAGTGGTTCTACTGCCTGCTTCGTAAGTGCAAGGACCCAAGTTCGAGTCTGATCCCCGGTACCAAAAGAACAAAAACAGACAGGCAGAAGGGCTGGGGCTTTAGCTTAGTGGTGCTGTGTCTGCCTTGTAAGTGCAAAGTCCTGAATTCGATCCCTGGTACTGCAAAAATAAATAAATAAATAAAAAGTAGGCTGTTGTTTTAGAGAGGGGAAGGAGGCTGTCCTGAGCTCTTCTTGGGAGGCTGCCTCCAGTCCTGGCCTAGCCATCAAGGGCTGGGTGAGCATCATTGGGAGGGAGAGGCAGTTGTGAAAAAAGTGTGCTGCTTGAGCCCTTGTGAAAAAAGGCCAAGTCAAGTGCTAATGTTGGGCCATGGGAAGAGGAAGGATGAAGTTTAGATATAAGGTGGCACTTCCTGATGATCAGGAAATGGGTTTCAGGGGAGTGGTTGTGAAGGGCCATAAGGAACCATTCACACAGTCTTCCTAGAGGAAGGGCAGGTGATCTGGGAATTGCAGAGGATTTGGGGATTCCATGACACTGCAGAGCCAGCACTGAGTGGGGAGAAAGCCAGAGCGACATCAGGCCGTCCATATCCAGAGCGCAAAGCCCATGAACAGAGGGACTAGATATCTGGAACTCCCAACTTGCTCAACCCAATGCCTCCTGAGTGACCATCTGGAGACCCCGATGGGAGATGGCTCGGCTCCGTGCTCAGAGACAGCCAGCTGCTTTAAGTCCTCAGCAAAAATGGCTCCAGTCTGTGGGGCCTGGAAACACCTCTTCACATCCAACCTCAGTCCTCAGTTCAGTTTGGACTCACAGAACCCGTGAAGTGGGTCCACTGAGGAGGATAAACTGAGCAGGAAATGGCTTTGGTCTTAGGCCTGGCCTCTGCTATAGGAGGGAGCAAGCTGGGCCAGCTCCTGGGGACTCTGTGGAAGGGAAAGTATTCTTCCTGAGGACTGGCCTGAGGGTTTGGGGGAACTGGAGAGGTGGGGTCAGGGCACCCTACTGGCCTGGGGGAAGGAAGCATCTCTGGAGGCTCAGCCCCTTCCCCTGAGTGGAGACCATAGCTTTAGTGGGGAAGAATTTATTTCTCTTCTTCTTCTTCTTCTTATTAGGTACTGGGATCATCGAATTCAGGCCCTTCCCCTTGCCAGGCAGCCACTGAGCTACATTCCTTGCTGGGAAGGAACTTACCTTGCATCTTCTGGGCAGCCCAGTGGCCTCAATTTGAAGGATTACATCAACCTCAGTCAAGAGCCCGCCAAACTGGGTGTGGTGGCGCACACCTGTAATCCCAGCACTTGGGAGGCTGAGGCAGGAGGATCTCTGTGAGTCTGAAAACAATCCTGGGCTATGTAGTGAGTTACAGTCAGTCTCGACTACATAGTGAGACCCTGCCTAAAAAAAAACAGCTGGCCCAGCTAGCAGCTCTAGTGGGTGTGGATGAGGGATTTCCCCTTTGGGCCTCAGTTTCTTTATCTGTAAAATAAGGGGGTGGCAGTAAATTATATGTAAGTTGTTTCCACCCCTGACAATCTGGGTTTCTGTTCCCCTACTTTCCCATCCGTTTTTTCCGATTCATCCCCCACCCCTGCCTTCTCTCCCACTTCTGTACCCCTTCTCAGTTTCTCCCTTCATATGGCACAGGTTTCTCCAGCCTTCTGATATTCCTTCTGCCACTACCTGGCTCCCTCTGGAGCCTCTGTTCTGCGCAAACACATCCACCTCTTCTAGTGCCCTCATCAACATCAGACCTCAGAGGGGAGGTTGGGAGAAGAGGAGGGGTCCTAGCAGCCTTTCCCCTGCCCCCGTGGCCCCTCTGTGCTGCCCCACCCGCACCCAGGGAGGCCAGCCCGCCGCTTGCTGGCAGCCGGTGCCTTACTGCGCCCTCGCCCCTCGCTAATGCGATCTGGAGAGACCCGGGCGGGCGGCGGGCAGTCTGGCCCGAGCGTCCCGGGCGGCGCTGATGGATGGTCCCCTGACAGTAATCGCAGAATGAGGACGCGCTGGCGACGCTCTTGCCCCGAGGCCCCGCTGTTTGGAAAGCCCAGGAGTCCTTTGCTCCCTCCCTCCACAGCGCCTGCCTCCTAGGCGCTCTTAATTTCCTTGGCTTTTCGGGGGAGTGGGCGATGACCTCTCGGTTAGGGCCCAGTTGGGGGCTTTCCCTGCCCTCTGTCCCCCAAGACCTCTGTTTCTGGTTTGAAATCCTACTTGGATTCACACTTGGGTCTGTGATTCTGAATAAGCTACTCATCTAGGAACCTCAGGTTTCCCTTCTGTAAATAAAGGTCTTAACAAGGCTAGACGGAGAGAGTTGGGAGCAGAAGGGAGAATGCTGGGTAAAATTACCACTCTCCTCAAGCAGATTTGTTTACTTCAGTATGCAGTGCTCAAAACTATCTGAGCTAAAGGTATGAAGCTAAGTAACACGGATAATGTTTGCTGTTGATATTGCTGTTATTATTGAGGTACTGGGATTGAACCCAGGGCCTTTGCATTGAAGTTCATCTCTCAAAATTTATTTTTTGTTTTGAGACAGGGTCTCCCTAGGCTTGAACTTGCAGTCCTCCTGCCTCAGCCTCCTAGACTGCTGGGATTATAAGTATACACCACCATGCTGGCTGAGAATCAGTTTTTATACACATACATGTGTAATGTCTTTAGGTTAATAAATACATTAGAAAATAAGAGATAGTAACACCAGTCCTGCCTGGATGTTCTCACAGAGAAGAGTGTGGGCTCTGGTATTTCTTCAGGACTGCTGCCTCTAGTCTGGGCCCTCAGTTCCATCCAGTCTTGGGTAACCTGCAATCCAGGACTAGGTAAGGGTGGTGTGAGGGAAGATCCTCCTTGGGGAAGCACTCCTGACAGTCTGCCAGCCCCTGGCCCACCTTCCAGTGTGTGAATTTTAAGGCCCCTCCTCTCCTCCACCCCAGAGGATTCCCCTTGGGCATGGCCCTGCAGAGGGGCTGAGGTTGATCCAGACCAGTTACACACCCAGACGCCTCCTCATTCCCTTTTAACCTTTCCCTCTCATCAGAAGCCAAATCAAGTTAGTTTTGATTTAATTCCTGAAATGGAGTCATAATTTGCTTAGCGTCCTTCTCCCCAAGTCCTAGAAGTGTGTATGTGTGTGTATGCGTGAGTAGTGAAGAATAGCTCTGTGTCCTCTGAAGGAACCGCACACACACTCACTTCCCAAACACCAAAGATCCGGCGGGGACCCCATGGCCCTAGGATGCACAGTGGTGTGATGATGATGATGGTGATGAATGATGATCAAAAGGATTCGTATTTATTAGGCACTTGTGATGAGCCAGGACTGAGGTAGATACTGTATATGCATTTCTCACTTAACTCTCACTGCTGCCTTTCAGGTAGATGCTATTCATGTTCCCAATTTACACAAAAAGAAACTGAGTAGAGAGGTTAAGTAGCCCATGCTATGGAACACAGATTCGAAGCCACACAGATTCTAGGACCCGCACTCTTAACCACTTAGTCGTGTGAACCTGGGCACCATACTTTATACTTTCTGCACCCTCTTCCCTGGTTTGCAAATCACTGTTAATAAACAGGGATAATAAGATACTCCTTTCATAGGCTTGTTGTGTTAATTAAATGAGCTAAGGCATTCACCATACTCACCTCACTGTAAGGACTCAATTGTTTAGATGTCCTAACCACTGGGGTGGATTGTGTGGGAGAAGGGGTACAATGGAATACAATTAATTAGGACTGTTATTCTTGCAAATGTTAGTCATCAGGCACTGAGAGCCTACAGGGCATAGGATATCCTACAAGGTGAATGCTATGCCTGGTCAGGGGATATAGCTCAGTGGTAGAGCATTTGCCTAGCATACAGGAGACCCTGAGTTCAATCTCTAGTACTGCAATCGATCAATCTTGCCATTCTTTTACAGATAAAGAAACTAAATTTCAGGTAAACAAAATACATTGCCTGAAGCCATCCTGTTTAAAAGAACAGACACTGTTTTTAAACACTGGGCCCTTGACTCCAAAGCCTGCTGTTCCCTGGTCCCCTCAGGGTCATCAAGGATTGGCCTCTCCTGGAGGAGGTCAGGGCTGAGGCCACAAGCTGAAGTCACACCCTCTGCCGCCTGTGACCTGATTTGTTGTAGGTGAGCGATGTTTTCCCAAAAGAACAGGAGGGAAGTAAATAGAGAAGTCCCTGAGACAGTGTTTCCCTCCCCCATAGCTGAGAAGTAGAACCCCTCCCACAACCCCCCCTCTCCTCATCCCCCTGGTTCCTCCGTGCTCAAGTTTGTGGCCATTTAAATAGAAGAAGAGAAAGTTTGAACCAGGCATGAAATATTTATCACTTAATTACAATATGTAGATTCTGTTCCTGGGGGTGATTTATCTTTTTGGAAATATAGGAAAAGATCCTGGAAACTTGTATCCTAATTGGTTGGCCTATTATTGTAGCAACCAGGTAGAAACTCCATTTACTAAACAACTACAAATTTTCCTACTACTGAAGGTAGCTGCCTTTGTCTTTGCCATTGGTGGTCTAGGTTCTCTGATTTTCTGATGAGGGAAGGGCTGCTAAGAGGTCATTTTGTCTATTCTCCTGTCTCTTCTTGGGGCAATCCCTTTCTAAGTCATAATAGCTGTCAAAAATGCAACAAGGAGAGCCCGGAATTTCAAGAGAAGTTCATCCTGAGTGACTCATCTCTCCCCCTGAAGCAATGTGGCTACCTTGTGGGTACCCCATGTCGATAACATCCCTCCTTTCCCTCCCCTGGCAGGGACACACCTGTGATACCAGTGATTCCTTTTGTGTCTCCCTTCCTAGGGCTACAACTCAACCTCAAGCTGCACATTAGCAGCTTGGGGAGTCTCATTCTTTCTTTTTCTCCTTCTCTTTTTTAATCCAGTCGCTAAGACTTTACTGTAGGCAAACCAAGTTAGAATCTCAGGAGGTGGGTCCGAGCATCAGTTTTTAAAACTCTCCAGGGAGTAGGGGGTTCCAATGTGTAGCCAAAGTCGAGACCCTGTAGAACAAACAGAAGTGCATGGCTTCCTGACCATGGGTCTTGCTTATCTGAAAGATGATGTCATCTTTATACCTCTCTCCTGGGTGTGGCAGTTGGCATCTCATTCACTTTCATCGGAACCCGAAGAACATCCTTTTCTTTCTTCAGAAGCTTCTGATATTAATAAGTACAATTTATCAAGCGCCTGCTGAATGCTTGGATCTATGTAAATAAAATTTAAACTGATCTACATAACAGCTCTGGGAGGCCAGTGGGAATGTCCATTTTATGGATGACTCAGAGAGGTTAAGTAATTTGCCCACAGCTGTAAAACTAGCAAGTATCAGAGCTGGGATTTGAATACAAAACCTGTGGTTTTAACTAACCACTCTGCTACATTGCCTTTCAGGCTGGGAGGAATGGACTTCAAAACCATCGTCTGAAGAATCTAGGGAAGGTCTTCCGGGGAGGGAAAGAGAAGCAAGGAGAAGTGTGGGAAGGCCGATGGGGTCTAGGAGCAGTTTGGGCATGGAGGAAGGAATGCTGGAGGATAGGAAAGGTGTAAGAGGCTGTGTGGGGACTGGATGCAGCGCCTGAAGGAGGATGTGGCAAGCTGGTGAGTGTCGACGTGTAGGGGGATGGGGCAGCAGCCGTGGAGGAAGCTGGGGAATGGGCCCAGGAGTGTGAGCTGGCAGTGGAAACACCCAGAACAGTGACCAGTACCACGGCCTGGGGTAGCTGCAGGGAGAGGGACCTTGTGTTGGAGGAGGGGCCTTTGTGAGGCCTGCAACCCTGAGGAATGCTCCCCCGTGAATACTAAGGGGAAGAAGAAGAGAAAGGGCTAGAGGGGGCTGGGTGATGTTTAGCTGCTGGGGTGATTAATGGGGGTGAACGGAGGGTGAAACTCAAAACCTTCGAACAGTGATGGTGGGGAATGGTTGTCCAAGAACAACAGCGCACTGTTTCATCGAGAAAGCCAATGTCCAGAGGAGGGGCAGGTGGGGAGGATGCCAGGTGCAGTTGCTCCTTCCCTTTTTTCCTAAAGTCTCCTTATTTACCATCTAATAGAACATTAAACAGCTAGCTCAGGGGGACCCTCTGATTGGGCTTCCTAACTGTCCCCTGGCTTGAGGCAGACCAAGGAATGCAGCGGTAGCTTGAGGGAAAAGCAGGTGAGGTCTGGACAGAGGGATAGAGGCTGAGGTACCTCCATGGACGAGCCCATATGAAGGCCTGACCACTGACTTCCTTGGGTCAGATAGGCACTGAGAGTTGCATGGGGTTGGGTTCCTGAATGTGCCTTAGAAACCAGTAGCGTTCTCCGATAAAGATTTTGGAGCAGTGCTGGGTGGAATAAGAGATCATTTCCTGCGAAGGAGCGAGTGGAGAGACAGGCTTCCTCCAGCCCTGGTTCCAGGATGTTGATCTGAGTTTGAAGAATGGAAATAAAGCTTGTGGAAGCCACAGGTTTGAAACCCTCTCTCCATTTCCTACTTCTGACTCTTTCTGGAGGTGCAGCTATGGGATCTGTCTCTCCTGCCTTCAACCTTTTGTATTTCCAGAGGAAAGGAAAGAGGATGAAGTAAACTCTTTCATGCTGGGGGAGGTGAAATGAAGGCAGGGATTTAGAAGGACATTATCTCTTGGGATAAAAGCATTTTCTTCCTCTCTGGGTCTTTGCAGATGTGAAACAACTGGCAGATACTACTACCTCCCCACCTTCAGTTGTTAGAGAGCATAGTGTCTAAAAGCCTGTGCCTGCCTACAGTAGAGGGGGCAAGGAGATGGGGGAAAAGGAGATCAGAAAAAAAGGGCCAAATGTGTATTTAGAAGGTTGAGGGAGGCCAGCATCTCTTGTGGGTAAGAGAGATAGAATGTCCATTTCCTTTTTTTTTTTTAAAATGGGGTCTGGCTATGTAGTTCAGGCTGGTCTTGAACTCACTATGTAGCCCAGGCTGGCCATAAGCTCACAGCAATCCTCCTGCCTCAGCCTCCCGAGTGCTGGGATTACAGGTGTGAGCCACCATACCAACTAGAAGGTCCACTCCTGATCCAACATTGCTTGGGTATTGATCCTGGGAGTCTTGCCTCCTGGCCTTCATTCCTGTCTCCACATAGAGCTTGGCCAAGCTACCACCCCTGTTGAAGTCTCACTCCTGTCACTACTCTCTCTCTCTCTCCGGGAGCCAAAGCTACAAAGCACTTTGAAATGTGAAGTTAGTGGGAGGTGGTTGCATTAAGCACAAATACTCTGTGAGGTGTAACATGACTTGACTGATAATGAGGCAACCAGTCCACATATGACTGAGTTCAAGGCTGCCTTCAAGAGGGGCCAGGCCTCAGTTTGCTTGTTACAGAGGGCAGGGGCTAACTGAAGCTGCCTTCTGCCTCACATGTTCACTGGAGAGCAATGGTCACAATCAACAGTCTTAATTATTATGATTTATTATTATTAATTATGAATTAATAATTCATAATTATTCCCCACTTGCAGATAAGCACAAGCCCACTGAAATTATTTCCCAGAGAGGAACACAGAGGCGGTGGAAAAGGGACATCGGTATAGACATTACTTCCAGAAGCCATTAAGTTCATTCCTCTGCTTCCCAACCAGACCCTGGAAGAGATTCATTAGCTTCCTTGGCCTTTCATCCTAATGCCTCCTCCCCACCCGCAGGTCCCTAAACACACCACATTTGCCTCTCTGTTCTTCCTGAGGCCAGGGGGCTGTCTTTGCCAACATGATCTCAGAACCTGCACTTTGGATTTCTGGGGCCTCTTTGTGCTCTGCTCTCTGTTCTGCTATTTATAGATGTGTCCTCTGCTGGAGGGGCCAGCGCTGGGTGTACTGGAGAGATGTAGCCTCTTCCTGGCTCTCTTTCCTCTCTTTTCCATCTCATGGTTGGGGGGATGCCTGGGATTTCTTCTGTTATGGTGAAACACCTTTCCAAATCCACGAGAAAAGAGACAAGAAGCGCCCTTCCTGGTGCCAAAGTGCCCTTTGGATCCTGGGTATGGATTTGAGAGGCTAACTCTGACCTCCTATACAGATATTTACAAGGATGGTGATGTAGCTCAGTGGTAAAGTATCTGCCGGTATCTGCCCAACACACTTGAGGCCCTGGGCTTGATCCTCAGCACCTCAAAAAAAAAAAAAAAAAAAAAAAAAAAAAAAGACATCTGATTACATTGATAATGAAGCCTAAGTAGGACTGTTGGAGTCATGCTCCACACTAGACCCAGCTCTCCACTGCTCCCCCCAGCAGCATTCACGATACCTTCATAATATCAAATTCCCACATCAGAAGATTTCTTCATGTTATTTTTGGTATTGGGCACTGAACCTAGGTCCTTTGCACTGAGTGACTCCCCTCTCCCCTTTGTGAGACAAGGTATTCACAAATTACTGAGTTGCCTAAAGTGAGCTGGAACTTGCTATTCTCCTGCCTCAGCCTCCCAGAGTGCTCAGATTATAGTTTGTGCACCATACTTGGCAAAAATATCTATATATCTATATATCTATATATCTATATCTATCTATCTATCTATCTATCTATCTATCTATCTATCTATCTATCTATCTATGGGCAGGACTGAGCTAAATCCCTTGCCTGGCTAAAAATATCTTAAAGGAACCCCAAAGAGCTCCCACCTCATAGCTCCAGGGGATCTCCTTTTCTGCTTCATGGAATCTAACCAGGACAGATTCTTGCTCTTCCAAATATGCTAAACCACCATATCTGCTGTGGTACTATCTTCTCCAAAATGTTGCAAGGAAGAGAGACTGGATCATGGACCAAAGGGCTTTGGGGTTGGCCCAACCTTACAGACGTCCTCCTCATTTGCATCAAACACACCTGTTAGGCTAAGCCTACAGGATGTAGGGAGTTGGAACACTGAGACCCAGAAATACCCTTGTCCAAATCCGTGGGTGCAGTAGCACACGTGACCCCTAGTTTCCCAGGCAAGGCGGATATTCAGCCAGGTACATTTGGGAGGCAACTACAACTACAAGAACAGCACTCCCTGCCTTTCACCAACCTCCCTCTTTACTTGGCCCCCTTTTGGTCCTAAGAGAAGGATGGGGTAGGGCTTTAACTCAAGTTATCTGGATAAGGATCTTTCCCCCCAAAAATGTTACTCCTTTGGCCCCCAAACATGAGAGATCTTTAAACCTCTTCCTTGGCGTCCTCCCGTTCTTTATCCCCCTCCCTAACACACATACAAATCTTAGCTACCAAAAATCTAAGTATAGGGGCCAAACATTCCTGGCCTACCATTTTACTCCACCTGCAATCCCGTCCCTTCCCCCCCAAATTTTTCTCTCTTCGCTTCTTTAAAAAAAAAAAAAAACGAAGAAGAAGGAATTTTCAATAGTCCCACTTGTCAAGCGAAGACCATCTTTTAACCTTCAACAGCAGCGAAAACCGTGTGAACTCTCGGTGAACCAAGATTGAAGTCATAAATCACGCGTACAAAGGCGGCTGCGGAGGCTGGCGCGGGCTGCTGCACCTTTAACGCTTTCTGGGGCTGACAGGCGGCGGCCCAGCTAAAGTTCACAGCGCCCGGGGAGGGAGGGG